AGACAGAATTACTGGATACAAAGAATTCGCCAGAGTGTAAAATCTGTATTGCGAAAATGCATTACATGTAGAAAAATCATGGGAAAACCTTATCCCATTCCAGAAGCACCACCGTTACCTAAAGACAGATTGAGAGAAGAACCTCCTTTTACTGTAACTGGTGTGGATTTCACTGGTGCCCTGAAGGTACGAAAAAAGAATGGACATGAAGGCAAAGTATACATATGTCTTTTCACTTGTGCTAGTACAAGAGCTGTCCATCTGGAACTGGTAACAGACCTCACTGAAGAACAATTTATTTTAGCCTTTCGGAGATTTTCCAGCAGGAAATCACTTCCAAAAATTATGATATCTGACAACGCAACCACATATGTTGCTTCTTCTAAGGAAATCAAAAAGTTAACATCTTCACACAGTCTTCAAGAAACCTTAAACACCCATGGTACAAGATGGAAATTCATACCTAAGAGAGCACCCTGGTACGGAGGCTTCTGGGAACGACTAATAGGACTTACAAAGAACTGCCTAAGGAAAGTACTGGGACGATCCTTTGTAAATTTAGATGTCCTGAACACAATCATCGTAGAAATTGAATGCATTTTGAATGACCGTCCTCTGACCTATGCATCAGCCGACCCATTGGACGAAGATCCCCTAACACCCTCTCATCTACTATATGGAAGGAAAATCAAGTCATTACCTTATCCTGGGAGTTCCAGTGAAGAAAATGTAACAACTGATTTGAACCATGTATCTGCGAACGAAACTTACAACATTCAACAAAAAGTCATTCAACACTTTTGGCAACGTTGGAGAAAGGAATACCTAACATCCTTAAGAGAATATCATCGCAGCCATGGAGAAAGCAAACAAAATATCAAGACCGGAGACATCGTTCAAATTTTTGATGAATTCAACCCAAGAAATTTGTGGAAACTGGCAAAGATTGAGGAGCTTATTTCCGGCCAAGATGGACTTATAAGATCTGTTTTATTAAAGACCAGAAACGGTATAACTTCTAGACCAATTACAAAACTGTATCCATTAGAATTAAATTCTGGGGACGATGACAAACCTTCAATACCTACAAAGGATCGTGAGGCAAAACTGAAAGCTATTAAACAGATTTCCAGTCATTCTAAGTGAAATAATCTAATTTTTGATATGACATTGTAAATAACTTTTTAAAAAGAAATCAATGCATTTTTAGCTAAAAAACCGCGTCTGATATTTTCAGTCCAAAGACTCTATTTTATACTTTTGTGGGCCGGAGAATGTTACGAATTATAGACAGTAATGCTTTTCTATTTACCATTTAATGCAATTATATTAATGACATTTACCGAACTATGACGTCATAGTACGATGACGTCATAGACGTTACTATAACGTTATGTTATATACTTGTGGAGTTTCAAATAAACCACTATACGGTTCAGATGTGTTTTCTATGAGTGCTACAATCTTGACATATATCAATGTTTCATGGATGAAGAATAAACTAATAAGGTAAGAAGCCATTTCCCTCCAGCACGACCAGTTTGTAATTTTCAATTAAAATTTCCCGCATCATTTTAGATAACCTTTGAAGTGTTAATGGTTAAAAAACTTTCTGCGGTAGACAAGAGTCATATCTTGGACATTACTCATGTAACGTCATATTATCTTGGATTGGATGAAGACATTACTCATGTTTAGGGATGTCAAAATTGTCAATAATTGATATTCGAATATTCGATAGTAGTATTCGAATATATTCGAATATTCGATTTATAAAATAAATACATCTTGCATTATAATATGTATATATCTTCACTCTTTGTCAAGCAATATATACGTTTTATGTCATATTTTTGGAATAAAATTTCATGTAGAGATTTGTAAATGCACTTTAATCATATTCTTAAAATATTTTACAGAATATATGAAGAGTTTATATCCAAAATGTAATAAAAAAATTTTCCCCCGAAAATTCAAAAGATTCTTTTAATAAGTTGCAGATTAATTAATCATCTTACCAATGTGTACACTGATAACCCTACAGATTTATACCACACAGAACAATTATCTAATGGAGAAACATTAAAAGCAATTACTTTTAGCTAATTAATTTCCTGATAATTATTTTAAATGATGTATAAATAAACAAAAATGTGTCCTTTCAACAATACAAACTAAATATAAGTACTGGACACTGTTATATCTCTAATTAAATGATCAAATGAATAACTTATATCATTTTGATAGACACATTCTTCACACCTTTAAGGTAATCCAAGAGGAGTGTCCTTAAAAAAATTAATTTTGTTTCAAATAAAATCTTATTATTGGTCAACAATGAGAATTTGATTCAATTTCTGATAAAACTTCAGTTTTTGCCAGATTTTTTTTTTTTTTTTTTTATGCTTGTATACTTAAAATCCGAATATTCGAATCATGAATTTATATTCGAATATCAAGTCATCGAATGAATATTCGAATATTCGAATATTCGTTGACATCCCTACTCATGTTACGTCATATTCCTAATCTGATCTCGGTGATTCTTATGTTTTCACGGTATATTAAATCGTAATACCATAATATACATATTTTACAAACATACGAAAAAACTTTTTTTTAAGTTATGCTACCTGTATGTATGTTTTCTATTTCTCTGCAGTTTTGAAATTCCTTGTTGTTTGAATCTAAGTTGTATTTTAAATACAAATGGTTATTAATTGGTATGATTCATATATATTTGAGTGCTTACAGGTTGCTTGGATTTTGCTGAAATTGTGAAAATTTCTTTACTTTATCTAGGTCACTAGAACAGTGTACGATAAACACGATGTCACACCAGCCAAATTACTTTATTGCATATTTTCATAATTCTTTCAAGTTTAATACCGTATAACCTTGTTTTACAAATTTTTTATAGCTTATGACGCTGAGATGCCTTTTTTAATCATGAGATACCCGCAGAGGGAGCAATTATAGCTGACTGAATAAAAAAGATTGGATCTCTTTAGCCATCTTAATCTGCCTGCTTGGATCTCGATACTTAAGCAAATCAGTAGCAGTCAAAGAATTGAGACAAATCTACAGGAAATAACTAAGACTAAGAATTCGTTTTATCTCAAGGTGTCCCGATTTCCGTTACTTTTTCGACCCCTTCCTTTAGTTCAAAACAGTTACTACTATCTATAGCAAGAGAATGTGAATAATGTTAATAAAATAATATAGAGGTTTATCAAGAATTCTCTTTAATATTTTACAGTACGCAAAATTCCATCAAAATTTATAAAAGTGCTCCACGTAGTAATGTCGATCCCAACAGCTTGTATTTTTCATATACAGTTTACAGCCAGACTTTAAGAGTAGTTCTGTTGGATTTATTTGATAAACTGTCAGGAGAATGGGAATACACAATACAACTTCATCTATTGATCAGAATTACAAAAAGAGCCATTACGAGAAATTCTCTGATAATATTAATTTGTTAAAAGATTTTTAGGGGAATGAAGGCAGAATTTATTCTTCCTTCTCTGGATTTGTCTTTAATATTTTATAGGGTGAAATATAAGACAGTTAATCAAATAAAACAAAGTATATTTAAAATCTCATTAAATAAAACAAAGTACAGTGTATATAATCTTAACAAAAGCATCAAAACAAACCACTATTTGACACTTTATACAAACATTAACATAATCGAAAAAATCATACATTTTTCATTCGATTTATTCCATTGAAGACGAAATAAAAGACAATACGAAGTCCGACAAACTGTTTATGTTTTGGATATTTTACTGAAGTCGCTGATTGCTAAATAACAACTAAACTATAACATTGTATGACTAATTTTTATATCGTTATTACCTATTTTCATCTGCATACATGTATGGAGTTTATGTCTTTCAGCTGATTCGATACGAAAGAGCATGTTCTTGGAAAGAACGAACAATTTATAAAATGGGGCAGACTTGTCCATGGCACCTGTTCCACCTCTGTCCGTGTTTACTCTCGTCACAATTTGTATTGTTTTAATTTAATAATGTAAGAAACAAGTTGTGTTGTTTTAATTTAAGAAACAATTTGTCTTGTTTTAATGTAAGAAACAAGTTTGTTGTTTTAATTTAAGAAACAATTTGTCTTGTTTTAATGTAAGAAACAAGTTTGTTGTTTTAATTTAAGAAACAATTTGTCTTGTTTTAATTTAAGACACAAGTTTGTTGTTTTAATTTAAGAAACAAGTTGTGCTGTTTTAATTTAAGAAACAAGTTGTGTTTAAGAAACAAATTTTACGAGTCTGTCTTTGGAATTCATACTATAGGTTCGTTATATCGTTTCCCATTTTCTTCTTCTTTTAAGATTGAGATAAATAGAATTCATTTCCAGACATTTTGTATACTAACATTTTTTTTTTATTCAAATAAATGATTCTTTTCTCTTTATCGTTCAAGGTACATGTATTTTGTTTCAAGCCTTTTTTGCCAAGGAAAAAAGTTCATAATTCTTTAACTAATATTAACAAAAAGATTTTTTTTAATTTTGATTAATCTTTGATATACCAAAGTTATTTTTCAATGCCCTTTAAGATGTCTTTGATAGAACATGTAAGTAAACAATTTGAAGTAATTTGATACGTTCATGCAAAGCATAAGTCTATCACATTTCAATTTTACTTTTTTTTCTCATCCAAGAATATTGTGATTAAGCATGGCAACGGTAATTCTTGCAAAAATACGTAGTTTTAGTTAACGTTAATGTGTCATGATCACTAATTTTAATACAAAAAAATATGCCTGTATGAATTAGAACAAAATACAACGGTTTAAAACCCATAGTAAACTTAAATTTTACTATCAATAGTAAAAACTTTGATACTACATTTATTGTTAACTATAGTTAGCTATTTAAAACTACATGCATCAGAAATCCTTGACAATACTTGTTATCAAAATAAGGATCATAAAAAGGGAGATTTTCATTGATAAATATAATATTTTGATACTCACTTTCTTGAGTTTCTCTCCATGGTGGTATTGGTATGAACGATCTACAAATGAAATGTTGGAATAATAAATTTTCCAATAATTCTCTTATTTTTCGAAAAATAAGAATATTGGTGACATTCATCTTCATGTATAAGTATTTACATTTCATGTGTAGGAAAGGAAAAGAGAAATACTTATAATCCTTTTTTATATCATCCTTTTACTAAGGCTTGCAAAATATGGAAAGAGTTCTCCTCTAATGAAAATTATGTAACAAAAAAATTTCATTGATACCTTTTTATCAGAATATGCAACTCCCCCACAAATGAAATAAAAAGCACAGTAAATTAAAAGTACAGATCGAAAACTTCCTTCCATGATATGCTAAAAGATGTCAGCTTTCTCAACACGGAGTATGAAGTGTTTTAAATATGATCGCCTAATAATTTGATGAGGAGACTGGCTTGCGTACCTTTAGCCTCTAATTATCTCCGATATACGGCATAACAGTGCTGTTCTCCATTAAAAAACACAAATATTACTTGTAGTGTTGATAAATAAAGAACCAAAGATGAAGAAAAAGATTTTCAAATATTTTATGCATGTATAGCTCGATATCTTAATTGGAATCAGCTTATCTTGGCATTATTTCAGTTGATAAATACTAGTAGTACATATCATTTACCCTTTCTAAGTGAACTGGGTAATATTGTTGAAAGCATTTTTAGATTGTAATAATTTATTATTAAATAAACACTAACTCTTTAACCCGTACTTTTACAAGCAGTTTTCTATTGCATATGCATGATAATACAAGTGGCGCGGTGGTGCTCAAGTCAACTGAGAGTGGCATGGAGTCTAATCCATAAATATTCTTCTAGCGGTGTTAAAATTATTTATTCCAATTCTAAAAATTTGGGATTTGCTTTTTTGGATTGGCTAAAACACCCAACATCAGAATTTCACAGCAAAGAATAAACTGTTCAGAAACGTCATATCACTTTTTTATGAAATGTCCAAAATACTGTATGCAAAGACAGAACCTTATGCAAAACCTTAATATTTTGCAACTACCAATGCTTTTATCTTTACAACTTATTTTAAATGGAGACAATAATTTTACTTACAGCCAAAATATTGCAATATCTAAACTTGTTGAAGAATTTATTTCAACTACAACGAGATTTGCATGATATTTTTTTTCTTCTTTTGTTTTTAAATTGTCAAACCACAGAACCAAAATATATTTACGTTTTCTTTATTTTATACACTTATTAACATAATTGCCAGTCATATATGTTAGAACACAAATTTAAGTTATATAATCAGCTCATAATTTTTTTCTTCTTCTTAATTTGCCTTTTTATATACATTTCTATTGAATATATGCATGTATATATTTATATTTTTCAATGTTATGTAGCTAATATTTACTTGTACATGTATGACTTTGATCTTTGTATTATGGAGAGGACTTATGTAGGCAGTGCCTGCTGTCCGATCCTATTATGTTTAGTCGTAATAAAAAATTGTTTAAATTAAAGAATAAACTGAATAACCAAATTTATGATCACGAAAACATATCAAAACCAGACCCATAATTTTAAAAGTGAAGGGGGCATCCTCTCAAATAAACCATATGGAGAGAACTAATATAGGCCGTTGGCCTGCTGTTCAATCCATGTTCATTGTGTGCTTCTTTGAATATTATGAATAAAATACTTCTTAAACACAAAAAGAAATAAGTAAACCATAAAAAAAACTTTGTCCAAACATTTGTCCAGATCACATTTGGTAACTTCGTGGAGAAGGGAGGGTGAGTAGAAAATCTTAATTTTGGTACATTATTTTTTCAGTTTCTAGATCTATGAAATTTGCCACTTCGCAATTTAACGTCAACAAAGAGTGACGGCAGCACGTAAGTAAAAACTTACTATATACATGTAGCGAAAGACGCCCCCCCCCCCCCCCCCCCCCCCAAGTCACAGAACTACTTACGGGAGATAACTCTAATTTGATGTTGTGACATTCAGGGGGGATTTCCGACTACTTTCGATTTTATCAGATTCTATCAGATTCACTATTGTTTATGCCCTTTACGTGGTTAAAATGATTTTTTAAACGATAAAAAAAGAGAGAGGAAATCTAATCTGGCTCAATAAAAACCGTGTCTTTGCGATAAAAATTTTCGTAGACCTGAACATGCTAAATTAAGAGCAAAAATTCCAACAGGAAATTTTCACAATCGCCGAATCGGAAACACATTCGTGATAATGCATGAGCAAGAATGAGATCTTCAGGACTGATGATATGAGAAAGGTTAGTATATTTAAATCTAAGCTTCCTTATGTTCTTTATTCACGTTTTTCTTTAGTTTCCTTCTACGAGTTTCTAACAAATATATACAACAAGCTGTTTCTGTTGGAGGTCTAGTCGACAAAATATATTTTTTTCAAAAAAATTAAATTTTGTTATAATTGTATTACAAACATTCTATACTTTATAAAGTTTTCTGGTTTATAAATCTTAATTTTCAATTCTGTACTTTCTTTATATACTAAGATTAAAAATTGATATTATAATTCCATTGTATGTGTATCTTGTTATGATATTTGTTATTATAATGAAAATCATGTGTATATTTCCAGGCACGGATCCAGAAATTATTTAAAGGGGGGGGGGTTGAAGAGGAAAATAGTGTTAAAGGGTTGTTGTTCTTTTAACGTTTGTTTACATATAGTTAAACAACTTAATACGATACATGCAGTGAAACACGGACTAAGTGTATCGTTTATAAAAGGGGATGGGGTAGACTAGGGCTGTGTATTGAGCCAAAAATTTCGATACGATACGATACAATATTTTTTAAAGCGATATGCGATATATTGGATTCTAAAACATGTCTATCAGAAAAGGCTTGTAAATCATTTTAATGTATAAATTTCAAAACATTTAAGTGTTTTATTACCCATACTAAAGTTCTTGTCTCATTGTCATTACAAATAACACTTCAAATTAAAACTTTTAATGACAGTAAAATCATCATGTTCAAATAAAATTCTCTGTATTTTGTAATAATTGTAAAAACTGTGTTATTTCCTTACAAATTATAAAATTATTGAACAGTTTTAATTCAAAAAAGTGAAATAAAATTTTTGTTGATTGAAATTCCCATCTTTTTAACAGAATTAGAAGAAAACTGTCTGTCCGATACGTATTGGAAATTATTTTTCGATACGATATTTTTCTTGAATATCGATACGTATCGATATATTGATACAGCCCTAGGGTAGACAGGGAAAAAATCTTTCTCTATCCAGAGTTGTCGTTCTCGCTACGCTCCCACATACGTGTAGTTAGCGTAGCAGAAGACAACTCTCGTTAGAGAATGGGAAAAAATATGAATTTCCTGGAAAGTCCCCCCCCCCAAAAAAAAAAACAAGGGAAAATAAACCTCTAAACCCGAAAATTTAAATTTGTAAGGGGAGGGGGTTAGAGGGGGTGGGGGCATTTTCTTTCCACAATCGAATTTATTTATACTCTACTACCAAATTTGGGACTCTCTCCGATCTCGCTGTTTATCTGTCTCTTATTGGCAAATCCAGGAGGTGCAACCCCCGTACCATCCCTTCTGGATCCACCACTGCATTTCTGACTTCATGCACTTGGTATCAAGGTGCTTCTCTGAGTCTCCCCACCTTTTTCCCAAACATATAGCCTTTTACATTTTCATAGAAAGACTGAAAACATCCCCTCCCCACTTTTTGTTGCAGTTATTCAAACGGGGTCGGGGTATTGTGGCAAAGTATGATCAAAATTTGGTTGTGAATGAAGTTGATCTGTGTTCCTCCCACACACAAGCAAAGTTTGATCGTTTAATATTTTTTGGCTAGCCAAAGTATTTGTTTTTTCCTGTGGTTTTCCCTTTCAAAAAGTTATCCGTTAGCAAAGTATTTGGTCATATTTCCTTTTTTTTAATTTCCGTACTTGTCTTGATTTTTTTTTCTGTTTTAATCGCAATTACATTTTTCCTTTCCTAGCAAACATAAACATCAGGAAAGAATACAGAAACCATCATGGGAAATACTTCATCACAATCTCAACTCACCTGCCACGCAGATTCAAATAAAATACTTACAGTAGATTTTCTTCAAAATGAAAATGCGAGAAACCCAGTGGATGTAGTTTTATGTTTTGTTGATACGAAGTGGAGTTCTAACGATCAGCTAAGTCAAGCCGTTTCATCATTGGCGGGAAATATCTACGTCACTACCCGAGAAAGGTTAAAGGCACAATATCCTGTCTGTTCTCCGGGTAACGTATTCAGCTGCACAGGCAGCAAACTAAATTGTAAGGCAGTCTTACTGGTGGTTGTGCCGGATGGGGACCTAAGTCAACATCTATTGTTAGTCCCCAGTATTCTACAAAATGCCATACAGAAGGCCTCCGACCTCGGTGCTCGTAGTATTGCTGTTCCTCTGGGCATTGGTAAGTATTCAAGATAGATCTATAGAGATACTTGATGTTTTGAATACCTCTTCTGATTTTGTCTTTAAAAAATATTTTGTTGACAATTTTGTGCTTTGCAAGAGTCTGATAAAATAATTTCATCCTTTTTTAGAGCCTCCATTTCAAGTGAACATCCTCCTGCCTTCTCTGTATATGACGTACTTGAATCACGACACAAGATCCTCTCTTACTCAGTTCCATATTATAACCACAAACTCGGCATTACAGTCCCAAATTCTACAGACTATAGAGGAGATGAATGAAAAGATAAGTACGGGTAATTCAGATGATAATGAACCCGAATTGCAAACAGTGGCTGGGAATTCTGCAAGCGATCATGATACACATTCCCATTCTCTGTATAATAATGATGGATTCACTCAAGGACAACAGGTTCATCCGCTCCCTCCAAAACAAGCAAGTGGTATGTTTCACAATACAGTAGACGAAAACGTTTTGGATCAAACACTCACAAATGATATACCACAAACACCTGATCAAAGTAGAGTATCGGTAGAGAATTTCCAGGACGTATCGCAGCCTAATGGCCCTTCAGTGCGGTCCAGCTATATGTTTCCGGTGGAACAACTTCACAAACATGTTGAAAAGATTTCAAAAAATGATTTTCTAAAATCAGTGAATTTTAGGACGTCTGATGATTCGAACACTCGTGTGACATTCAGTGATGAAGTTGAAGAATGCATAGACCCGAAACAGCCTCCTCTGGTTCGATCCCTCTCCAGCGGCAGCGACGACCAAAGCAGTTTGGACTTTCAGAACTTTTGCGTAAAGCGACCAGTAACCCGATTTCAGGGTAAGCGGCCAGTACAGAGAGGAGAGCCCGTGGTGGTCGTTAAGTATGACGAGGAAGAATCCGCCAAAAAAGCCGATCCCGTCTTCTTCTGTGTTATTTGTCAAAGTGAACACAAGGTCGATTGCCAGAGGAAGCTGGATAAATGTGAACATGTATTTTGCAGGGAATGTATCGAAAATTATTTTAAGAGAGAGAAACCTGTTTGTCCTGTATGTAACACGGTTTACGGAGAGATTACAGGAAACATGCCACCGGGCATTATGTCGTACTATACTTCAACCGGGCATCTCCCAGGACACGATGATGTGGGGGTTATTGTTATTGAATACGATATTCCAGATGGGGTACAAACGGTGAGCTTAATATAATATTATATATACTTTATATTTTCGTCAATTTTTATGCGAAAAAGGTATTGATGGATTCTCTACTCCCGTGCCATGTTTATTTAAATTAAACTAATATTTGATAAAATGGCAAAACAATCCATATTTCATGCAACTCATTTACAAACGTGAATTTAGGAAGAACATCCACATCCGGGCAAGCCATTCAAAGGAGCGACCCGAACAGCCTACCTGCCTAACTCGGTACAGGGGCAAAAGTGTCTGCGGTTACTACAGAAAGCGTTCGATCAGAAGCTGACATTTACAGTGGGACGATCCAGAACGACCGGAAATGAAAACTGTGTGACGTGGAACGATATCCACCATAAAACAAATGTCCAAGGTGGAGCACAAAGGTAAAATATCAGATTAATGTTACCTGGCCTTGACCAACAATGGCCCAAGGACCAAGATGGAGCGATGAAAAAGAGTCAGTTTAAAATTTAGGGGGGAAATACTCTTTTTAAATCACATATTTCGAAAATACATGATCCATTTTAGAAAAAAAAAGTCGTTATTTATCTGATTAAAGAAATGCTTCTAGAATTTCTTACCCAATAGTTGGCAAAGCGACTCCAAGATTTCCAGAACTCGGCAAAATTCCGTGCGGGTATTACTGTCTTATGACAGCATTTTCCCACGATCGCTTGATGTTCGTTTTAGCCCTTTTTTATCAAATGAAAGTTTTCATTATTAAATTGTTTATTTTATAACTTGACAGATTCGGATACCCAGACCCCAGCTACCTGGATCGTCTTGAGAAAGAGCTCAAAGACCGCGGGATCATGGAGGACTAAACATAATCTCCGGAACAATTGATATATATTTCAATTTAATCTGCATTGAAGTTACTCAAGGAATAATTCTTTTGGTTATAATAAAACAAATTGCATTTCTGGTCAACGTTTTATAAATAGTTTTGTTCCTTATAGAGATGACTTTATGTGGTTTTAAGCTATTGTTAATGTTTTGAATAAAGTATATCACATACAGAGCACCACTAAAAGTATTACATACAAATGTATTAAATTTAAAAAAAAATGTGGAGCAATAGGTCCTTAAGTTTCAAGATCTGGGTAAAAAGTCATACACGTGTATAGGAATGGCTATTAATAAAATTTCATCATTTATCAAGTAAATCATCATGTATATTCATGTAGTATGTACATGTAATGTGTTAAAAACCTAATAAGGTACAGAAGAAGTTTTTATAGAGGATAATGTCAGATGTACCATGGCAGAGGCATTATCCGAAATGTAAAAAACATAGGTAATCAGAGATTACAGAGCTCAAGCTCAACGAATTTGTCTTAGAGGCAAAGTCACACAATTAACCAACAAAAAGTTAAGCATTCCAAAAATGAAAATATTTTTAAAAGCAATTTTGATCTGATACTTTGAAATAGCAATAAAAAATTTAAATAATGATCCTTGATAAAGTCTCTTTATGTTCTTAGTCTAGTCTACTTGTGTGCCTGGAGTTATATTGAAATCAGATCAAAACTGTAGGAGGAGTAGCATTTTGAAACAATTTTATAGACATTTTTATTTTTAGTAATGGAAATCAAAAACCGATATACACAATTATGGATCTTAGTGCAGTCTACTTGTGTGCCAAGTTATATCAGAAACTGTAAGAGGAGTAGCATTTTGAAAGAATTTCACAGAAATTTCTATTTTTAGTAACCACGGCAACAACTTTTAACTATTCAAATCAAAAACCGATACACAGAATTATGTATCTTAGTGCAGTCTACTTGTGTACCAAGTTATACTGAAATCAGACCAAAACTGTAGGAGAAGTAGCATTTTGAAAGAATTTCACAGAAATTTCTATTTTTAGATGTATCATCTAAGTTTGGTCAACCAAAGTTACTTGCAAATGGCAACACCGTTTCTCGAAATCTAAAACCGATATATAGAATTATGTATCTTAATGTAGTCTACTTGTGTGCCAAGTTATATTGAAATTAGACCAAAACTGTAGGAGGAGTAGCATTTCGAAAAATTGTTTACAGACAGACAGAGAGACAGCTAGACAAGACCGGTAGTATGCATCCTTAGATGTATCATCCATGCAAGTTTGGTCAACATAGGGCTTATAGCTCTTCTGGAAATGAAACCTGCACCAAAAACTAAAACCTGTTCAAAACTAAAATGTCTTATTTTAATAATAAAGCTTGTAAAATTTTAAAAATCTGTTCAAATCATATAATTGAGAGACATCTTGGGACAATATAAATGGGTGTGTGAAAATTTGCACAAGAATAAAATTAATGATTTTTAAAAGTATTTATATCCATGAAGTTTGGTCAACAATTATTCAAAATATATGCAAAGAACATCATCAGGAGATGGTGGTTGTTCAGCAGAGCAAGGATACTCCACAATGGGATCATAAAGTTTAACATAGGGCTTATAGTAAATGAATGTCCAAAAACTTTAAACAATTCATTTCCAACAATTATACATGTTATGTTATTAAAAACAACACAGAAACTATCATCCATGATAATTGCTCTATAGTTACTTGGAAATGAAACCTACACCAAAAACTTTAACCTGTTTTTTAACCAGAAATTGTCTCTGTTCAGCATCTGAAGCAAGCCTGGTACTGGTTCCTGAACTTATAGCAAAGGAAGACTTGGAAATGAAACCCACACCAAAAACAGCCAAAAATGTTAACCTGCTCCAAAAACATTAACCTGGTAATTCCTTTGCAATATATAGCATCTGAAACTTTGTTGATAAAACACTCTAAAACCATCTTCCATGCATATCTAATCAGTGTGCCATAGTTATATTGAAAACTGCTCCAAAAAACTTAACCTTAACCTGTAGCCGAGCCGAGGGTATAGCATTTTGAGGTGAACAATTTTACAGACATTTCAATTTTTGTAACTTAGAGCAAAGGAAGAGAAAAGTACTTATCAAAATTAAAATTTGATAGCAAAGAATTATGATAAAGTCTCTTTATGTTCTTAGTGCAGTCTACTTGTGTGCCAAGTTATATTGAAATCAGACCAAAACTGTAGCAGGAGTAGCATTTTGAAACAATTTTATAGACATTTTTATTTTTAGTAATGGAACACCATTCAAAAAAAAACCGATATACACAATTATGTATCTTAGTGTATTCTACTTGTGTGCCAAATTATATCAGAAACTGTAGGAGGAGTAGCATTTTGAAAGAATTTCACAGAAATTTCTATTTTTAGTAACCACGACAACACCGTTTCATCGAAATCAAAAACCGATACACAGAATTATGTATCTTAGTGTAGTCTACTTGTGTGCCAAGTTATACTGAAATCAGACCAAAACTGTAGGAGAAGTAGCATTTTGAAAGAATTTCACAGAAATTTCTATTTTTAGTAACCACGGCAACACCGTTTCTCGAAATCTAAAACCGATATATAGAATTATGTATCTTAATGTAGTCTACTTGTGTGCCAAGTTATATTGAAATTAGACCAAAACTGTAGGAGGAGTAGCATTTTGAAAGAATTTCACAGAACTTTCTATATTTAGTAACCACTGCAACACCGTTCATCGCAAAGCTCAAAAACTGATACACAGAATTATGAAAATAAATCTTATTTTAATAATAAAGCTTGTAAAATTTTAAAAATCTGAAATCATATAAAGAGACATCTAGGAGACAATATAATTGTGTGAAAATTTGCACAAGAATAAAATTAATGATTTTTAAAAGTATTTATATCCCAAAGAATTAGTCCACAATTATTCAAAACTATATGCAAAGAACATCATCAGGAGATGGTGGTTGTTCTCAGAGCAAGGATACTGCCACAATGGGATGATAAAGTTTAACATGAGATAAAGTGAATGTTAAAAAAGAATCTTTAAACAATTCATTTCCAACAATTATACATGTTATGTTATTAAAAACAACACAGAAACTACAATGATAATTGCTCTTGAGAAGCAAGTTCACCCATTCCTATTTTTTAAAAATATAGTCCACGAAATTAAAATTTCATCACATTCATACAGGTGTAGTTTCAATTTATATGTATTAAGGTTATGGTTCTTTGTGTCTAAGCCCAAGGTGTGTTATCTCTCAAACAACTCCTGGTGGATATTGCTGGATGTGAATAACACCAACTTTACACTCATGGGTCTCCAAAGCAGTTTAATTCAACTCTAAACCATGTATTATCAGCATCTTTCCTTACATTCAATATGTATTTTTCTCTTTAAAAAGAAAAATCTTTTAACTCCGATGAGATATCTCTTTGAAAAAACCAACACTAGATACATGTAAAAAGTAAATTTTAGTAACTGGTAAAATAAGTAATACTTTTTTTGTAAAAATACTTTACTTTAAGTTTTTATAACAATATTCTGATATCATGCAATTACATTGTATTAAATTTGTAAATGCAAAGACAAATTTAACTCATTTAATGCTCCAGTTCTTCAAAGAATGCTATGAATGCTTTAACATGTCCCTCTCATGATTTCACATATTGGCAATGTACATGCATCTTGTTTTGCATAAAATAAAAATACAATGAACAAATATGCAAAACAAATATTTTTTAAAAATCAGAAAGTATAACTGTTCAATATATTGCAATGTCAGAGTACCTCCCTGTCATACACTGTATTTATACTTTATCAAAAATAAATACTCAGAATCATGATACTAAATGGGAAGAAATGTAACAAAAAACTTCATCATATCAAATGCACTGGCAAAGACAATAACCTAATTTAGGAAATTTACACATCTAAAAATGTCATTGCACAAAAAAAATTCAAAGATCACAACCATTTCTTTTGTTTGTTTGTTTTTTTCAAAATATCCAGTGCTATAAATGTCATAACTTATGAAACTGAGGATAACAAAATGAATTATGCAAAGACTTTGTCCGTCGAGTTTCAGTTCTTCAGGAAGTATGAATTTTCTTTATTTTCAACACAAGTACTTGTTTGCTATCAGCTCAAAAGAAGTAAGTGAAGAAATTCCTGCTCTCATTTCAGATGAACAAATCTGAAATAGAATTTAAATCTGAATCAAATGTCAAACATTAAAATATCAATATTTCTTAAAAACTGGATAAAAATTTTATTTTATAAAATAAGTTTTATTTTTTCTACTTTCCAAAGGTGCATAAAGAATTTTATCCTGCAACTAGCCCTTGCATTGACCTAATAAAGGTAGCCTAATAAACCAAAGCTTTATCCGGTCACTGCCCTAATAAAGCCTCGTGCATGCATTCCGACGTTCTAAAAGCATTGTGACGTCATGAATATTGCAATGTTTACGCCATGGCATCATAGTTTCAACTGCAGGGATGTGACTAAATCTGTTGAAAATAGCTTGTTTTGGATGTTCAAATGTAAAATTTTGTTGCAGGATAAACAAAATACATGAAAACTGTTTTGAAATATAAGCGATATTTGGGCTCGGGTCCAAAACGTAAGAGGGCTCAGCAAGCCTCGCCCTCTTTCACGTTTTCTTACTCTCGCCCAAATATCGCTTATATTTCAAGACAGTAACCATGTATTTTATATTTACTAAAACCAGACATTATTATGTTCTACCTCATTGCATGTCTTTTTAAGAACTCAACAAAATTTAGAGTACTGTAGACAGGGTTATTTTCGCCCTCTCACACTTGCAAACAATTTTGCCCCATTTTACACTCGCCCAGTCATAGTTTTGTTTAAGAAATTATACTGTATTCTTTTAATTTGCCCCGATTTAAATTCACCCACATGAAAGTAGGGCGAAAGGGTCAAAATTAAAGCGGGGACGAAAATTTCCCTGTATACAGTATTCTTGTGAAGATCTTTCTACAAACCGAACACATCTTAAATTACAATACTCTATTAATATTCCTAAATTCAATCTTGAACACAGCTGATCAGATCTTACATATAGTTAATCCTTTAAATATCTTTTAGACAGTCTGGTAATGGACTTTTGGAATGCTTGCTTTCAAAGTGTTGTTTATACGTCTTAGGGTCTGGCATCTGTGACTGGAAAAGCAAAA